TTGAAATTAGGTAGATGGGCGGCGGGCAACTGCTGGATGTTCATAGAATGTTTGAGCCAGGTGAGATTTTGTCAACTACCTGAACTTGAGTATTCATTGAGCACCTACTGTGGGCCAGGCCATGTGAGAGATGTAAGAAGTAGAAAGATAAACCCTGTCTTCCAGGAACTGTAGATGGGTTCAATGCTGGTGCCCTTGTGCAGTGGTTAAGAGAGAAGGTATTGGTGTCACACTGAGAAAGCTCAAGTCCTAGCTGTTCTCTCACTAGCTGCATCACCTGAGTGGTATCTTCATTTCTATGTAGCTCACCTGTAAAATGTGGATACCATTAAACAATCCACAAAGAGGCCTGTGTAGAGCATCCAGTTCACAGTAAGAACTCAACCCACATTAGTTCTGACAACAATGGGACTAAAGACAGAAAAAATGATACAGAGGAAGCACACAGAAAGCCACCTACCCAGTCTGGCAAGTCAAGGAAGGCACATTAGTTAATGTATCTATGAGCAAGCAATAGAGTCTGATTCTGGCTAATTTATTCCTGAGTCTTTACATTACTGGCTCTGAGAACACAAAGATCAGATTGCAAAGGCTAAGTAAGTCATATTACCACAATCTAGCTGCAAGAAATGCTAAGAAGACAATTATCTGGCCTTTTCAACTTTTATACTAGGACAAATATTAACATCATAGATAGTGAGGCCATACTCTTACACATGTGTAACTACCAAATAATTTCTCTGGTGTGAGAAACTGAAAGTGTAAATGAGGACCAAAATACATAATAGATAATGTGAAGCAGGAAGAAAGGGTCCAAAGGGGAAGAAGACAGGGATGTGGTGGGGAGAGGGGAGGGAAAAGGAAAGAAGGGAAAGGAAAAAATATGAGAAAAGAAAAAAAATGGAAACAGTCTTTGTAAATAGGAAGGGGGAGGGGTTGAAGGGAGGCCAGGGGAATGGGGAAAAAATAAGAATCAAGATATATCATGTACAGGTACAAACTCCCAATGATGAGTGTCCTCACATTGTATATATAAAATATACCAATAAACTTAATTAATAAAAAAATCATAGTGTGAAAGATTCCCAAAGAAAGGGAAAGGATTTGGATGCCAGTCACAAAACACCAAAAGCATCCTATAGAGAAGGTTTCCTGGAAGGAGGAACATCTTAGCTGAGTTAAAAGCAATCTACTCACATTTTAGCAATAAAGAAACTGAGACATGGAGAGGTGGGCTTTTCTAATACCACAAGCTTTGAAAAAAGAGAGCGTAGTTCTGGGAAGAGGAAGCACTGAGGGTGTGGAAGAAAGAGAAGCCAGAGGAGGCCTTTGATGGGCTATGAGAACAAGAGGCTGAAAGTCTCAGCCAGAGTTAAGCCTAGAAGTGGTGGCAGAGCAGAGGAGAAAGTAGCAGTGGACAGTGGTTATCACCAGGTCTGGGGAGAAATTGGGATCCAGCAAAGAAGTGTTGTGAAATGAAGTCTTTATTTGGTGTTTATAACTAGTACCTGAGATAAACCCTGGGAGTTTCCAAGTGACAGAAATATCTTTGTCATCATCCATAGGGACCCTGGGACCACCCTGAGTGACCTTCAGTAAGACCCTAGATAATTTTATGTTGGGGTTTGATCATGTCAGAAGATTAACAATGTAACTAGAGGGTTGAGGCTTTGTACCACAGGATGTCTATTCTCCCTTTGTCCTCTGGGAAGAGGAGGAAGGCTAGGGGTCGAGTTCAATCACATGGTCAATGATTCAATCAAGCACATAACGAAGTCTTAATAAAATCAGAAAACCAAAGAAGAGCTCTGAACACCAAAGCTCAGGTGATCTTCCTTGTTTGGTGGTCATACCTCAACATGCTGGGAGATTGCCACCATAGATTCTTCATATTTGGGACCAGCCCAGACCTCCCCCTAGGAAACTCTTGATTTGGATGATCTTGATTTGCATCCTTCATAATAAAACTGTAATCATAGGTACTTTGCTAAACTCTGTGGGTTGATCTGGCAAATTTTGGGACCAGAGGATCTAATGGGAATCTCTGAATTATAGCCAGCTGGTTAGAAGTACAGGGATCCTGGGGATTGTTGAATCTGTGCTGTCTTGAGAGTATTCTTGTGTGGGACTGTACCCTTAGTCTGTGAAATCTGCTCTAACTCTGGATAGTCAGCATCACATTCACACTGCAAGTAGAAAACTGCTATTCTCCATACAAAGAGCCAAGTTCTCCTTCCAACTCTGTAGTTGAGCCTTAGACAAGAAAAGTCCTAATTCAAAGGTGGAAACCACACAGATTGTACCTATCCACCATTTAGGAAGCAATGAGCTTCCTCTTGATTCTCATTCATTGCGGATTGGGCGGTGTTTCAAACCCAGTGCGTGGTCATGTGACCAACACTCAGGGCAGCCGGAGCATTACCCTTCTCTTGTCATAGCAAATGGCTCAGGGATGGACATTCAAAATAATCCAGGGAGACACAAACAGAAACTTCTATTGGAACTGGAAGAGAGACCAGAGAGAGTCCTCTCTTGTTGACTACAAAAGAAAACAAAACAAGGATTTCTGGGAGCCCGACATAGAAACAAATCTGACAACAGAAAGGAAAGCTGAGAAACACGACAAGATGGAGGTCAGGTTTTGGTCACAACCTTTGAACTATTCAGCTATGGAAGCTAACAAATTTTCTTTTCTACTTAATCCAGATTCAATTTTATTTCCTTCACTTGTGATGAAAAGATGGTTAATTAATGCAACAGGAGAGAGAAAAAGGCAGAGGGGATTTATGTAAAAGCAGAGCCCAATTCTAGACATCCCTGAGGAAGGCCCCTTCCTCTTATAGGACAGGTAAGACAGTAGGGGAAAGAGTTTTCACCACATTTATCATGCAGGTAAAACTAAGAGAAAATTCTGAGTTAAATCCACAACATCAATCAAGAGCAAAGGAAAAAGACTAAGAACACAGGTATTTTATCACTCACTTTTGCAGCAGGTGTGAAAGTGCCAATTTGGATTTAAAAGAGCATGAAACCAGTGCAAGGAGGGGATTGTTATCGGAGCCAGCTCTCATGTATCTGCCACTGGAAAAAGGAGTGGATTTCCTAGCTCAGTGGCCTCCAAAGTGGGGAGGGGCTTGCAAGATGGTCCAAAAGAAAATACTAGAACTTATGTTCAGTGCTGTCTTAGTTAAAGAGTATTTTTAAGCTTTGATAATAGTGTAGTTGTGGATGGACTCTGGTGCCCGATTCAGTTTATGCTGAGAATGACACCTGTGTTTGATTATCAGTCAAGCCAGGAAACCTCATGGGATAGGAGAGTTCCACAATACGAAGGAGATAAGGAGCATTCTTCGCCTCTCACTCTCAGTCCTGCTTCCTATACATAAGTTTTACTTCTCCACCATGCCTTGGCTTTAAATATCCTCCCATATTCACTCCAGAGAAACCTGTGTGCCTATGAAATCAGCGTTGCTCTCTGTACTCCGGAACTGCAGTCAGATATTGGAGGACGTTTCTCTGTCCTTGCCTTCAACAGCTTTTGTTAATTATTTCTTCCTTTGTCTCATCCTTGCCACTCCAGCTTATCTCCCAGAAAAACTGAGGTTGCCAAGGGAAACTAAATACCATACTTGTTCAATGAAAGCTGAACATTAAACAGAATTATAGATATAGATCCAATTGAAATTGAGCCATAAAATAGCATCTTCCCTGTTCCTAAAAACCATTATTCAGGCTGTTTTTCAGAATGTAGACTCAGAACCTCAAATGTCTTGTCTTTCATCCTCAGTCCCCCTTGGTCAGGGATAAACTCGTAGGCTGGTTCCTATAGGAAAGCCCAAGGGCCAGTGCCGGAGCCTGGACAGTCAAGCTGGCAAGCCGAAAGACCATTGCTGGAAGCTACAGAATCTCTGCCAAGAACCAGAAGGCAAAGGCCAGAGCTCCTAACAAGAAAACAGCAGCCATCCTTGTTGAAGGTGAGGATCAGAGCTGCGCCAAAGAAAAGCAGCTGGAACAAAAATCTGCACCATCAAAGCTCTTCCAAGGGAAATCAGCATGAAATCCTTCCCTCCATTCTCCTTTTATAGTATCCCTACAACAAGCCTTCTGAAGTGGGTCTTCCATGCTCAGAACCATGCTGACTCATTCCCATGCTGGGCATTCCCACCCAAGTCAACAATCAACCAATTAACTGCCACAACTACCTTCCAGGGTGAGGGTATTTGAGCATGCCCCCTGACTCCTTGTCTGTTGGCTTACAATCAAGCTCTATCTTTTTGCAAAAGCCAGTGGCATCATATTGGCTTCTTTGCAGCAAGCCCTTGCTTGGTATCCCAACTCATAGTTTGGGAATTCTGTTGTTCTGTTTTGTTTTTCAGTGCTGGAGAAGAATCCCAGGCCCTCTTGCACATAAGCAGGCGCTCTACCACTCAGCTTGAATCCCAGCCCCATAGCTCCTAAAGGTCACACTTCTCATGGCTGCATCTACCAGAAAGTCAAGTGACCAAGTACCTGAGTTAAAGAGCAAGAAGTCAGGCTCTGAAATGTTTTTCAGTTCCTCCTACAAACTGGTTCTGATCACATTCTAATTCTCTCTCTCTCTCTCTCTCTCTCTC